GCTGGAAAGGTGCCCAATGGAAAAGAACCTGGGGGTGCTGATCGACAGCCAACTGAAGATGAGCCAGCAGTGTGCCCAGGAGGCTGAGAAGGCCAAGAGCATCCTGGCCTTCCTTAGAAATGGTGTGGTCAGCAGGACGAGGGAAGTGATTGTCCCCCTTTACTCAGCACTGGTGAGTCTGCACTTTGAATGCTCTGTTCAGTTTTGGGCCCCTCCTGACAAGAAAGACACTGAGGTGCTGGAGCATGTCCAAAGAAGGTCAGTGAAGCTGGTGAAGGGTCTAGAGTACAAGTCTTAAAAAGAAGCCGCTGAAGGAACTGGGGTTATTTAGCCTGGAGAAAAGGAGGCTGAGGAGAGACATCACTGTAGTGAGGTGGGTGCTCGTCTCTTCTCCCAAGTAACAAGCAGTAAGAGGAGAGAAAATGGTCTCAGGTTGCACCAGAGGAGGTTTAGATTGGATATTAGGAAAAAAATCTTCGTCCGAAGGGTTGTTAAGCACAGGGTGCTCAGAGAAATGGTTGAGTCACCATCCGTGGAGGTATTTAAAAGACGTGTTGATGTGGTGCTTAGGGATGTGGTTTAGTCATGGGTTTGGCATTGCTAGGTTAAGAGTTGAACTCAATGATCCTAAAGGTTTTTTCCAAGTTAAATAATTCTATGATTAGCCTCCAGATAGGATGAAATCAGTTTTTTCTGATGGAGAAAATTTGGAGGGGGCTTTATTTGTCCTGCTTACAGTCACAGCAGTCTAACCAGTGAAGGCTGAATATTCAGCACAGACCCCCCACAAGTACACATGTTCATCACTGGGGCTGAGCGACTTACTGTCAATTCTGTGCACGCTCTGTTTCACTGCGAGGGAGAGGAGATTCCCTGCCAGCTCTGACTGGTAAGTTGACATACACAGTGACTGCATTTCTCTGTGACTTGGCAGCTGTGCAGTTAATGAAGCAGAGTACTGATGCATGCACTTCCTTGAAATCTGCTGTGAAATACTTTCCCAAAAAAACCCCTCTCCCAAACAGTAAGCATTGCTAGGACAGTCAAACATTACCAGTGTCTGCAGGGAAGCATAACTGTGCAGAGGTTATGCACTAATGTAGGCTTGCCCCGAGGCACTCCCTTTACACTTTCCGAGGTCTAGAGGGAACATTGCCAAATGCTTATAAATAAAAATGAATCAGATCCGTTTTTTCTGTATTGCTTTACCAATTGAGCGTATGAACTCACTCAATTAGCTTCCATCAGTACTACTGTAGTGCTCTGAGGGAGCAGGGAGCACCTGAGCAGTGTTCCTGGAAGCGGGAGATGCTGGTGCCTGTGTCTTCCACAGGTCTAGGAGCAGTGCACTCAGGGTTTCCAAGATCTTGGGGAGAGGACATGCCTTCGTTCGCTCTCAGGTTTCTCCCTCGTCACTCCCCAGTAGAACCTGTTCAGAGATGGGCATCTAGCTTGGACTTGCGCTGTGCCTTCCCAGTGTGAAACAGTCGCAAATTCATTGCCCTGCTGGGCTGAAGGGGAAAGGCTGTGAGCTTTCCCAGATGATCCCTGGATAAAAGAGTAGGGCGCACGTTTTTTCTTCTCCCACATCTTAGACTTCTATGTGTGATGTTAGTGTTTTTTGAAAATCACAGGCATCTAGGACAGGGAGAGAGGCAGAAGACAGGAGAGAGAGTATTTTCTGTATTAGAAGGAGGCACAGACAGGCTGTGCAGCTTTGTGAGCTTTAGTCCGCAGTCAAAACCAAGCGATGGTAGGTCATTCTCACTCAAGCCTTGGAAGTCTTGGCTCATCAATATTCATGAAGCTCTTAGACTAAAGTCTGTATAAATGAGTAAGTCCTGTTATGCAGGGACACAGAACTTTTCCAGATGACTTTCATGATACCAAGTTATATTACAGTGAGGATATGAATGGTTTGTGGCAAATAGCTTTCCATTCTGAAAGAGGTCTTTGCAATAACTATCTGTGCAGATGCGAGCAATTTGGCAGCAATTGTTCCAAACCAGTGGTTTCTTTCAAGAACCAAAGAAAAAAAAAGAAAAAATTGCAGAGTAAATCCTTTCCTACATTATTATATTGCCTTAAATTTAGTTCCAGCAAAGGTATTTTTCTGCTGATGCAATGACACTGACTGCCTGTCTATCAGATTATTTTGTGATGCTTCTTTGATTCTGTGCTTGGGACAGCATAAGCTCTGTAAGACTCCCAGGAGTCAAAAGCAAAACCAGATTTGAGAGATGTTTTCAGAGTCAGATTGAAACAATTTTGGGCCAGTCTTCTGTCCATTGCTTCATCCTATTCTGATGAGCTACACCACGATGAGCTTATTTTTAAGGTGGGTCTCCTCTTCCGTAGGTCCCACAGCTTCATTTCCTGTTACTTGCTGACTTCGATTTCTCATTTCAAGACCTCGATGTGAAGAAGCTTGTTTCACTCCCACCCATTTGCTCATTCCCAGGATATGGTCTTCCTTCTGGAAGCGCAGCTGGGAATGTTGTCACACAGATTCTTAAGTCGCAAGGTTGTGGAATAACTGATGAAATGTATGTGGTTTTGTTTTGGGAAACGTCAGGGCTGTGGTTCAGCCAGTGTCACAGCAGCGTCACGCGTTGTGCTGTTGCTACCAGCTGGAAGTTCTCAGAAACACCCTGCATTGATTCTTCCTGAGCGCACTTTGTTTTCTCAACCCTTGATTTCAGATCTTTTCTAGGTCTTTGGAGCCAGATCAAAGCAGTAGCACCAAGGCTCCCTCATTCACATTTTGTGTTATTAGCTCTAAATTCTTCTTTATGGTTTTTGGCACCATTATATTGTAGTGACTACCCTGCAGAGTCTCCTGCCAGGGTCAAGACCAGCACTTTCGAATTTGTACTCCTGCGTCCAGGAGGATGTGAGCACTGCTTCAGAGAGCTTTTGGGCACTCTTCTTGGTGGCAGTTCCTCTGCTGATTTTCTGTCAGAATATCTGCTATGACAGTAAAGCATGTGTCAGAGTCTGATGACTATTCCCTACATTTCAGTGGGTGCCTTGGAGGAAAAAAAGGCTGCAAGTTTTGAATATGCAACACATGTAATATTCTGTTGGGATTGTTTATGCTCAGCAAATCAGATCTTACAGTTTCCCTTGAAACGAGGAATAAGAATGATGGTTCTTTTCTGAATTCTATTTAATGCAAGAGGAGCAGGGAAGATTTCTCTGAAGTGTGTGGCAATTGCAACATCAGCGGTTCCTCCAGCCCAGGGAGGATCCCAGCTGGTGCTGAGCTGCTCTGATGGCTCATGGCCCTTCGCAGTCAGCCTTCCGTGTCAAAGGAAATGAGAGGGCGCCGCCTGAGCTTTTTGTCTGTGTTCTACCAATTCCCAGATGTTGTGACCTGAATTTACCACATTCGTATTTTCAACACTGTTCTCAGTGCTCCACTAGCTTGTAAGATGGCAGAAATGACTGTCTCAGATGTTGTCTACTCCACTTCCAAATGTTTATGTATTTTAAAATGAATGCATATCTGTGATTCATCTTGAGTTGTACTCATCAAGGGGAATCACAACAGCCTAACCTCACGGCATGAAATGTCTGCCAACTCTTCCCTCCCTTTTCTGGTAATTCCTTTCTCCTCTCCTCTCCTCGAGTCCTTTTTGGCTTTCTTCAGTTGCCTTATTCCTGCCTTTGAGAGTGTCAGCTTGCAGGGATTATCAGCTGAAAGTCCCACAGGCTTTTCATCTTTTCTGATGATGCATCTGTAAGATACCTCTCTTCACACAGTTTTCTGCCTTTCTTTTACGGAGCAGGCAAAGTTAACAGTGTGAAAGGAAGCAGGCGTAAGCCAGAGAGCATGCTTTTGCCTTTCCACATGCAGGTGTTATACAGTAAAATGCTGAAGGTCCAAAAGGAATTATCTGTACTGTGAAAGGGCAGAAAAAAAGCACTACGTGGAATATACTTTTACAGTATATCTTTCCTCTTTTTCTCTAGAGTACCACCTCACACTGAATGAAAAATATCACTTTAAGAGGAGAAATAAGTTCATGTAAGGAGTATTTAACAAGGGCATTTATTAATTTTAATAAGATTTCAGTTACACAATCAGGAGGTGATTGACCTGTAATCTTTAGAAATTATTTTTACCAAACTCATGATTTTAGTACCTTTGACTGCCTTCTAGCAGAACATTAAATGAGGTGGCAAACAGCTGTCACAGAAGACTTTTTTTTTTTTCCCCTTCCCATTTCTGAGAGAAGACTAGTTTACGTGGCTGAGTCTTGTTTCTTTAGGAAAAAGCAAACTAAAGAACTCTCTCATATGTGGAGTGATTCACTGTAGTCATTAGCTCCCATGGTAGTTCGTCCCACAATTTCAGACCAGCTCCTCATAAAGCTTTCTCCAGCACAGAGATAATTCAGCCATGGTGTAAAAAAAATCCCAGGTAACCACCTAGGGCAGAACTGCTCACAGGTTTCATTCAGAAGTGCATGGATATAGAGATATGCTGAGCCCAGGGGACCAGATACTCTGAAAAGACCTTGGTTCGGACTCGGAGTCATGTGCACGAGTCGGTTAGAGACACTTAAGTTTCATGTCACTCAGTGACATAGGAATATGTGCTGCTATCTTCCGTGCTCGTTGGTGTCTCTCAGGCACTGAAGGTTAATTACCATTCATTATCTGCAAAAATATTGATTATAGTTAAGGAAGCACTGTGGCTGTGATCTCTTAAAAATAAGATTTTTTTTCTTCAACCCATGAACATAAATTCCATCCCACGTAGTTTCAACTTCACTCAACTGCTCCTTATCCGTAAGCTGGTCTTATCTGATTATTTTGTGTTCTTAGTGATGGAGGTCTCTGTAGTAAAAGATTGTTAGTCTTCTACCTATTATTGCTTCAGTAGCTGAAACAGCTTCTTGTCTGTTCTCAGTTTGGGATGCAAAGCTTTGAGAAGTGTGATTCACTCCAGCTATGTGAGATTTTGCTTAACCTCATTTCTTTATGTTAAGAGATTAAAGTAGCAGATTCTTATTAAAACACATGGTCATTTCTGAGAGATTTGGGTTTAACAGTTCTTGAATAGTGTAAACACTGTTGTGGCTGTTTTAGTATCTGGCATGCTCTGAGTAGGGCCGAGCTGCAGTAGATCAGGTATTGTCTTGCCTAACTTAGTTTAGAACATGTTTCAGCATATTTGGTTCCTTCTAAACCTTATTATTTTGCAGGCTGAAAGAAAGTGTGTCTTGCAGGAACACCTGTGGTTTCCCTCTCTTGTTCCTTCTGCTCCCTTCCTTGACCTGTAGCGTGAGCTGACCTAGCAGCATTTACTTACCCAAACCCCTGGAGTAGTTTACTTACCCCACCTCTTGTTTAACCACAGACCCAAAGTCCAGCCTAACAGGTGATCTGAATTTTCAGTGTTCTACTGAACATACACGCCAAAACAGGTGCCTAAGGCTGTCTTACGTGCTGCTGAAGGTACTCGCAGGGTGACTATTACTGCTGTCTCAAAGCCCCAAAATAATGCAGTTGTTCTTTTCATGCCAAACTATATGCAAATTTACTGGACTGCATATATAGAGGTCATCCAAGATTTAAAATATTGATATATGTTGTTGATAACAGTATCTTCCCTCAGCACAATTGCAGGTCTAAACTCTTACCTGCACAATTTCATATGCTTACTGAATTAAAGATACGCTAGAGTTGAATTAATTAAAGGCTGTAGCATCCTCATTTATTTTCTTTGCACTATACCTTCTCCTCGTATACAGTGCCCTTTATTCACTCAAATCTCCCAAAGAATTGTCACTTGTTATTGTATATACTTCTGATCATAAAATTCCTCTACATCAGCAACTTCTCATGTTTTGAAATGTCTATATTTTGGATATTTAAAAGGCAAGAGCTGCATGGCAGTTTCATTTGCTCATAGAAGTTAACGGTGGTGTTTGTGCTTTGAGATGCATGAACTTTTTCAACACCTTTTTTTTTTCCTGTGACATTGTTGCATGCATGTGATGTCAGTAAAGGACATCAGTCCAACCTCCCTAGCTTGTGAAGTCTTACTCACAGAACAGCGGTGCAGTGAATGGCGTAGCTGTAAGCTGCCCCACAGTGCCCCTCTGCTGTGTCCTAGCTGTGCTGCGAACAAACCATTTTCATAGCAGAGCCTCAGTTAAAAATGCTACCCAGGGACAGTGATCACAGAATCACAGAATTGTTGAGGCTGGAAAAGACCCCTGAGATCATCCAGTCCAGCCTATGACCCAACCCCACCACATGGGCCAGAGCATGGCACTAAGGGCCACATCCAGCCTCTCCTTAAACACCTCCAGGGACGGTGACGCCAGCCCTTCCCTGGGCAGTGCATCCCAGTGCCTGAGCACCCTCTCCATGAGGAAATGCTTCCTGAGATCCAACCTAAACCTGCCCTGAGGCAGCCTCAGGCCGTGTGTCCCCGGGTCCTGTCACTGGTTGCCCGGGAGAAGAGCCCGACCCCCACCTGACTGCACCCTCCCTTCAGGCAGTTGTAGAGAGTGATAAGGTCCCCTCTGAGTCTCCTCTTCTCCAGGCTGAACACCCCCAGCTCCCTCAGCCTCTCCTCACAGGACTTTCCCTCCAGTCCCTTCCCCAGCCTCGTTGCTCTCCTCTGGACCCGCTCCAGCAGGTTCTTTGGTATCAGCATTAACCTTCAAAGGAGATGACTCCAGCCGCTCCCAGGATGTAAGTTATCTAGCAAATGTTAAATAAGAACTTCCAGCTGATACTGAATCCAGACTTGACTCCATGAGATGATCCAAACGAGTGGAGACAGCTGAAGAATCTGACAGATGTAAGAGTTGCTGTGGAATAAGGTACTCAGTAATAAAACAGAGCAGCTCTGCTCTTTCTGAAGGTTATAGCTTTGTATTAATTGATCATCTAGATCATTAATGAAGATGTTAGGTCTTTAGATACTACTGTTAATGGAGCCATGTAGGTACCATAGGTAATTATGTCAATTTACACTACAGCTGTCATGGTTTGATTATCTGAAATTATGTTTCAGATAAAAGAAGTTGTTGCTTTCAAATGTACCGGTTTTCACAAGAGTTCCTCGATCCAAAAACACTAACCAGCCATCTCCAGTCTGAGGGGATCTTCTCAGTTTTATTTCCATGCTTTGATGTCTCAGCTATTCTGTATGGAAATTACATGTAAAATTTTGATATTATATTCCTGGGCTTCACTTTTTTGTGTATCTCCAGCATTTTTTCCCCTCCTGACGGATACATTGTCCTTGGTGCTGTCAGAAACGCGGCATGACCTGAATGAGTCATAGAGATCTGGCATATTGACCCAAATACTTGTTCAGGCAAACTCTCAATAAATAACTTAGAGTAGCCAACAAAATTATAACCATTAACTTGCTTCCTTCTTGCTAGAATTAGTATATTCTCTGTGCGAGGCCTAGCAACGGAGTCTAAGCTTTCATCTCTCTAGTCTTATTCTTGTACTTATTTGAGGCAAAAACCAAACACCAACATACAGATGGGAGTGTTTCCCACACAAATATATTTTGCATCCAGTTTGATTTCTTAAAGACAAAGTGTTTATCATCTCCAGTTCATTAGGAGTTAATGGTCATTTGGAGTTAACTCTGAGAATTCCAGTGAAATCTTATGAAATAAATTCTTGTTTCAAAGAGGTAAGAAATGTGATAAAAAACCAGTATGACACTAACTAAAAATTGTCCCAAAGCCAAAAGAAAGGACTAATCAGAAAACTCATCTGAAAAAATATTTATTTTCTGGGACTTACACTGCATTTTTGTTTACATTTTTGGGAGAGAACTGCTGTCACTCTGTGTTGTAACTCGAATTTTCCTTGTCTGTAGTGCCAGGACCAAATTCCTCCAGTGACAACTGCATCAGTTTTCCCATGATAATGATGGCCTGGGTGGTGATTGCACTTGTTTTGTTCTTACTGAGACCTAGTAATCTGAGGGGATCCAGCACAGCCGGAAAGCCAACCAGCCCCCATAATGTAAGTGCACCTTCAAGTGCCCTGCAGAGAGACTCTAGCTTAAATGTATTTTATTTTAATCCAGGCTGTCTCACAGTCATTTTTTCCTTACATTTCTTCCCTCTGTATTTTCTTGGAACTCCATTAAAAATGAAAATGAATAAAACCAAAGTGAAAGTAGAATCACGAAGGCCAAGTGTGAGGCCTGCTGTGGGATGGACCAGGCACAAGTGACTAAGGATGGGTCGTAATGTCCTCTGGACACTGGCTGTCCCCCGTTGGAACCACCTCCCGCTTTCTTATGTACAAGAGGAAAATCACAGCTTTAAGAGAAGTCAGTAAACAAAACTACAGCATGAAACTAGGAAGGTGATCTTTGTCCTAGATGTGGGATCTTGGAAGAATTCCTATTGATGCAGGCAATGCTGTTGATCTTTGATGTTCATTTTCTCTGAATATTGAAAGAGATAGTGAAAGATCGTAAAAGAAAGCTCAGTGAGTTCTGAATTATTTTTTTGCTCCTATGTGAAATGTTGTTTCTAACCCTGTACATTTTTTTTTTCTTTCCTTTCGTCCCACCTTCCCCTAGGGACAAGAACCACCAGCACCACCAGTGGACTAGAGCGTCCAGTATTGGAAAAGTTCAACAGTGAAAACCTTGCACGACCAAATGAACGAAACGACCAGATTACTCCTAAACCCTGTTCAATACTGTTTTCTTTTCTCATTTATATAGAGTAAAATTATCATTCAGCAGTTATCTTCAGGACTACTTTTAGCAACTTCAATTTTAAGTTAATTTTTGCTTTGTATGTTATTACAATTCCTAGCAGATTGTAATTTGAATAATGATGAGGCATTGCAGGGGGTTTTTGATTGTTACTGTTACTGTGGACATTCCACTCAGGCTCTTTCTGTTACAATGATCTTATTTCCTTGCAGTGATTTCTGATACGCATTGAAAAAAAGAAAATCCCTGTGCATCTATAATAACGGAAGGTTACTGACCTTTCTTCAGATTAATCCATATTTTTTCTCCAGTATGCTTTTAAGAGTTACATTATGGTTGCAACTATTATAGCTTAGTTATGTGGTGAAAAGTTGAAATTATTTTATATATGCCCTGGGTTCAGAGCAGCTTTTAGTCTGGTCTTTGGACCACTAACATGGTTTTCAGGGTTGTTGGCAAAAGCATGGATTGCCCACTAGAATTATACTCTGTGTGTGTGTGTGTGTGTGCGCGCGCGCACGTAAGTGAATGTGATAATTGCCACCGTCAAAGCTTTGACATATATATTGGGAACTTTACACCGAAGATTATACCACCAAAAAAATAATTTAATCTTGTTCATTAAAAACTAAAAGGTATTCCAAAAATGGATTTGTTTACTTACAGACTTTATGAAAAGAGAAATTTAGTGAGAAGACCTTGGTAGAATTTTCTCTTCTGGTATAGTCTTTCAGTAATCGGTATCAACAAGCTTTTGGGCATGATATAATGTCTATTGGACAGGATGAAATCATACCAAGAGGATACCGAGGTTACCAACTTTTGGCATAGAGCATATACTGAGTATTCAGGTTTTTTTCACCTGTATGTTATCAACAATTCTTAACATTTCATCCTTATCTACTGGTTGTAATTGTAGAATAACAAACTTGCAGGTGACTACATACAGCATGTCTTTTCCCTCTAATATTTGTGTGTGTGGTGTGTTGATGTGTGCGTATGTGTGGCTGTGCACGTACCTGTGCACGTCTCCCATTGTAGCAAATGGGAATTACTTTTTTATGTACATTAATTTAAGAACATTTTAAAGATGTACAGAAAAGCAACACTGTATATTTTTCTTGATCAATTTGAAAAATTGATGAGAATAGTTGTTAAGAACGTTTTTTTGTTACCGACATGAAGCTTCTTTCCATAAAGGTCAGTAGAACAGACATACAGGAATTCAAAGCCTTACTCTACAAACCTTCCTTTCATGAGGACTTTAGTTGAGGAGCTGAAGGGACTGATTGTTAAGATGCGTAAAGGTTTGTGTTAACGGGCTCTAACAAAAATCTCACATCAGATCCCGTGGTTGACACACGCAGAGTTTTCCTCCTCAGGGTAGATGGCGAGCCAGCTAAGCCTCCTTGTAAAGGTACAGCGTAGACCTGAAGAAAGGCTTCTGTAATTTGAAGTAATTGCCCTTTGAATTTCTGTGTAATAGTGTGCTCCCAAGCATAGGAACACGTGTAAAGAAAATTTTAAAATTTTAAAAATAATAGTTAAGAAGATTGGGCCGAGTGCTCTCAGTGACATCACTGCAGTGCCGTGTAAAACGACGGAGCTGCAGCGGGGAAGCTGAGAGAATTTGTCCTACTATGTCTAACGGTGTACAGGCCACAAACACTGTGTAAAGATGTCACTGGGACATGCAGTCTGACTGTGCTTGCTTTTTGCCTTCCATGTACATTTATGTTTGGGATGCTGTTTGAGCAGAACAAGTCACACAGCACCGTTTTGTTGAACCAACAAGGAAATCTATATAATCTCCTACACTGACCGTTTCTTCAAGGATTTTTGGCCAGAATTCTTCACCATCAGACACGTAAGAAGCCAACTGAAACAGGCTTCGTTTCAGCCAGAGCTCCATTCCTCATTCTATTGGAAGTTGGTGAGATTTACGGCAGATGCTCCTCACTTGTGAGGATCAGTCTTGCTTTACTTACATGTCTGTGTGTGTATTTATAAAACTCACCGTGTGCACCCAGCTCTAACAGTCTAGGCAAATGAACGTTTTGTTCGGAGTAATGTTACGTTTTACATTTAAGTGAACTGTGTTTGCTTGAAACTCCTCTAAGTAATTGTCCCAGTGATTTTATACATGTATGCTTTTCCTCATGTAAATTGCTATTTTAAATTTTCTATGTGAAAGAAAAAACATTGGAAATATTTTATTGTAAAATGTTTTACTAAAGAGCCAGGCCGCTATCCCATGTCAAAATGTTTGCCTTTTAAATTCAGATCCTCTCTCCAAAATAAAAGCTTCAGATCACCACTCTTAATTAAAATAAAAGTAATTGTAGGACTGTATTTTGCCACTCTTATTCATGTTAAATAGTGCCTTACTCATCAAGTAGTTGCACTGAAGTTTGTGGGACTACTCTGAGATAATGTACTAGTAGCAGCTTTAGTAAGGGTGGCAGAAATCTGGCCTTTAGTGATGTAGTTTGCGATGAAATAATTGTGTCATGGTTGCAGATGTTTATGGTAAATTTTGAAAAGTGTGGAAGAGATTAGTGGTATGTGAAGTTTCAGGATATGACTGATTCTCTAGTGAGGGTTTTAAGCTCGGTTAGCAAGATGCACAAGTTGTAGCAACTTGGGGAATATGGAGGGAAGTTTACAATTATACCTTAGCTTAGAACTTTGTTAAAACAATAGTATTTTTAGAGTCTGCTTAACACAATTACTATACTCTGAAATGAGAAATCATATGTATTCATGTATTGTCTGCAGATCACTTAGCCTTGTAATGTTCATGATTGAAAAAGGAAGAGTGATGATGTGATGTACCTAATGTAAATCGGTGGTTTAAAACGTCTGAATTATGCCAAACAAAAAATCATCTGTGCCATTTGTGGTTTCCTGGTGATCTTTTACTGAGTACTTGGATTGGGATAAAGGGCTTGTACTATGCACTTTTTATTGACTTAACAAAATAAATAGCAATCATTAGTAACATTTTTGTCTTTGTCTCGTCGTCGTTGTATAAGATGTAGGATTGCACCGATCTACCAATTTGTAAGGTAATTTGAAATCATCAAAAAAAAAGTATTGTTTAAAATTGCATGTCATCTGAATATCTTCTAAAACATATATTCTAACTTTTCTAATGGACACTTGCCTTCTGTATGTATTCTCAAGCAAGTTAGGACAAATTGTAAAGAGTTTCCAAGGTTTAAGATGCTTTGATGACCTATGTGGATGTCTCTGCCTTTTGCTCTTGAAAGTAGTTAAGCAACCTAGGAAGTTAGAAATAACACAGTAGTAAAAGTAATGACAAAGGCTAAATATGCCATCTATGTTACTTAATTTTAGATCAAATTCTACTATTTTGGGATTTCCAGTTTACTTTCTAGACCCAGTTCTTGGCAGTGTTGGACCCAGAGATGCTGTGAGGAAGGAAGATGCTCCAGTGGATCTGAGACAGCGTATAGAAGTCATAGAGACCTGCTACTTCCTCAGTGTTCCCATGGAGTGCAGCACTCTTCTTCCTCTGGCAGCAGAGTACAAAATGCTGAGCACTGTCTCAGCAGCAGCTCAGGTCCCATGTTAGGGATTCCTGTGTTAATCCGAGGTTGCTCAGAAAAGTTGTGGATGGCCCTCCCTGAAGTGTTCAAGGCCAGATCGGACAGGGCTTTGAGCAACCTGATCTAGTGGGAGGTGTCCCTGCCCATGGCACGCAGTATCTTTAAGGTCCCTTCCAACTCTAACTATTCTGTAATAAAAAGGAAAACATCAGGGAAGCATTAGGGTTTAAAATTATACACAGCTATCCATAGATAATGGTAATAAATGCCAGAGAATCAGTAAAAGATCTGAAATAACTGTTATTATTAATAATAATTATTAACAACAATAGTAATAAGAATTTAATAAGAAATGCTTTAGGTATTCAAGTCAGTTTAGAAACTCTGTTCTTAATCAGAGATCATTAACGTCTGCTCATGAATTTACCCTTTTACTCAAACATGAGATTATAAATAGCCCCTAAAACTGAAGCTAAACTTTACTTGTAAGAGCACTTCTTAAAATGTTTGCCAAGGATGCACATGCCTATTACAAAAAGTGATGCAGAAAGAAAATTACTACAAATTTCAGTTAACTGTACTGAATGGATCTGCATGAGGCTTGACCATTCAAGTCCACGAGGTAAGTGGAGAAAATTACTGTGCCCTAAAGCCTGAAGAAATTTGTTTGGGACAAATATATTGCAGCAAAAACATTCCATGAACATTAAACGGGTTCCCTGTGAAAATGGACAACTTGGATTCTTTTCTGCTTCCACACTTACCTGTTTAGCACCAGCCAAGAGTGTAGAGCACTGTTCATGGCAGACGCAGACCTTGGGGCAGGGGAAGAGGCGGACTGTCCTGCGGTGAGCCACAGCCTCACTTCTAAAACAGCATGACTCTTACTGGCTTCCAGGGACTTAAACTTTTTGACATCAGCTGAAGATTTGTCTCTTTTCTTAAAAGAAGAATAACAGAAGTGATATTACTTGATCTTGTATCAAAATTATTTCTGACTCCATAGCAGGTGCTTCATAGTTCAATGTAATAACTAGAAGAATCTGGCTTCTGCATTACCTTTTTAATATCTACAGGTCAGAGTGTTGGTCAAAGAGGGTGTCCAAGACAAATGTTTTAAATACATGACAATAGATATTAATTCACTGTATATAACTGGCTTTTTAAAGGTTTCACTCTTCTTTCTTGTATGGAAAGTGGTATTATAAAATATTTTATACAATGTTAAATGAAAATAGAGCAGTAATTTCTAATCAAAGATGACAAGGAACAAGCTTTTAAAAAGTCTCTTGCATTTATGGGTTTTGTTATTACGTCCTCCAAGCTATAAATGATGAAAAAGAGGAATAATTTCAGTGAGTATGTACTTTTCAGATTTACATATTTTAAAATTCTTGAAGATTAATAATCTGTTCTGCTGCAAAAAATACCCTTAAAATATAAGAAGAGATAGAGCTAAGAAAATATGCAGACCAACAACAAAAAAAACCATAATTGTACAACATTCTGAAGGTCATACCATTGCTTCCAAAAAAAAAAAAAATTTAAAAAGTGTAGGAGCTCATTTTGGACCGGAATTTGTAGATTAAATGATAAATGATAAACTAGATTAGCAAGAAAATGATCCACATTAGTCAGCCCGGGATTGGACGCTACACCAAAACATCTCAAAATATGCTTTGTTCTTGTGGTGATGATGAGTAAAAATCTGGTTTCCTCAGCTCTCCTAGTGATTTCATGCAACCTGGTTTTCCATCTGCAGTTTCATCTAGATGAAACAGAAAATCCAAATAATCATTTTCCCGTTTCATCAAATTAGCCTGCAGTCTGCATCACAAGCACATCTTGTTTGTGACACCCCCTCTAGCTCTACACTGCTGTCAGGCTTCAGTGTACA